TTGTTCTTTCCCCAGTACACTCCGTTGGTACCTGTTTTACTAGTAGTTTTACTTTCTTTTGGAAGTTCAGAATATATTTAGGAAACCAAATAAAATATACAGCCCAAGTGCCAGGGTGCTATTTTGGGAGGTAGGAAGGTGGTTTTAAAGCGTGGTTTCTTTTTAAGGGCTGTCTGAATATAATTGTACTTAGTAAGACAATTTCTAAGAGCTAATCGTATCATAGTGAAAAGATCACTGTTTTTTTATTGATTATCTTGAGATGGAATCTATTTGAAGTTCTAGTTTTTACTTGAAAAACTTTTGTTTTTTTGAGACAGAGTCTCACTCTGTTGCCCAGGCTAGAGTGAGTACCGTGGCATCAGCCTAGCTCACAGCAACCTCCAACTCCTGGGCTCAGGCTATCCTCCTGCCTCAGCCTCCCGAGTAGCTGGGACTACAGGCATGCGCCACCATGCCCAGCTAATTTTCTCTATATATTTTTAGTTGGCCAATTAATTTCTTTCTATTTTTAGTAGAGATGGGTCTGGCTCTTAGCTCATGCTGGTCTCAAACTCCTGAGAGCTCAAACGATCCGCCTGCCTCGGCCTCCCAGAGTGCTAGGATTACAGGCGTGAGCCACCTTGCACGGCCAACTTGAAAAATTTTTGGAAACACTTTAGGTGAAAGACTTGGTTCTTAATTAAAGCTTGAATTTATTAAAATAAGAGTTTTAGCATTTTATTAAATATAACTTAATGGTCAGTTTAATTTTTTTAAGTTGACTTTTTTTTTTTTGAGAGTCTCATTCTATTGCTCGGGCTAGAGTGCCATGGTGTCAGCCTGGCTCACAGCAACCTCAAACTCCTTGGCTCAAGCAATCTTTTTGCCTCAGTCTCCCCAGTAGCTGGGACTACAGGCATGCACCACCATGCTTGGCTACTTTTTTCTATATATTTTTAGTTGTCCAGCTAATTTCTTTCTAATTTTAGTAGAGACAGGGTCTCACTCTTGCTTAGGCTGGTCTCAAACTCCTGAGCTCAGAGGATCCTCCTGCCTCGGCCTCCTAGAGTGCTAGAGTTACAGGCGTTAGTGACCCGCCTGAATTGACTTAAATGTTTATTGAACTGAATCATGTAGTTTGTAGACTTCATTTGTTTGTTTGTTTGGGTTTTTTTTGAATTATAGGGTCCCATCATAGTGGGAAAGCACACTGGGCAGTGAGTCTTGGTCCAGCTACTAAGCAAGTTGTGTCATTTGAGCAGGTCTTTCTGGTGCTGCCATTGCAATGTAAAAATGAGGATTAGCGTAGATAAAACCTAATAGTCGTAATTTTAAAAATCTTTCATCTTATGATGAACTTTCTAGTGTTCTGTGTGAAAGAGAATCAACATTTATGTCTTCCTCATGGTAGCTACTGTGTTAGAAGTTTAAGAATTCTATAGAATAGGTAGCAGTATATCCATTTTATTCATAAACTCAGAGAAGTTAATTGCCCAACTTCCATAGCCAGCAGGCTGAAGAGTTGGGATGCAGACTTAAAAATCTGTCTGACTTCAAAGCCCGTGCATGTTATTATCACAAGTTGCATTGCTGCCTCTGCATGAACCTTTGACTTTTGTCTTATTTTGTTCACTGAAGCTTAGTTTCAGGTGTATTTGGGGTGTATGCTTTGAAATGATTCAAGGAAGATATCAGTATCAATACTTCATTGTCTTACTGAGAATCTGTTTTAGCATTCTCTAGAGTAGGATCTAATTTGTGAATGCCTCCTGTAGTTTATTTCATATAGTAGGTACTTAAAATGTATTGAATAAATGAATATATAGTCACAAAACTGTGAGACTCTGTTAAAGTTAATAAATAGTTATCTTTTATGAATTTGTCAGATACCAAGTCGATTTCTTAATGTTTTAGAAGTTTAGTTTTAATTCTATTTTCACAAACGAGACATTAATTGTAAATTCTGTTGCTCTTTTTTTTTATTGTCTGAGAATTGTAGTTTCTTTTATTTTTGAGACACAGTCTCACTCTGTTGCCCTGGGCTAGAGTGCCATGGCGTCAGCTTAGCTCATAGCAACCCTGCTGGGCTCAAGCAATCCTTCTGCCTCAGCCTCCCAAGTAGCTGGGACTACAGGCAAGCGCCACCATGCCCAGCTAATTTGTTTCTATATATTTTTAGTTGACCAATTAATTTGTTTCTATTTATAGTAGAGCCTGGTCTAGCTCTTGCTCAGGCCGGTTTCGAACTCCTGACCTGAGCAACCCACCCGCCTTGGCCTCCCACAGTGCTAGGATTACAGGTGTGAGCCACTGTGCTAGGCCTGTAGTTTCTTGTAATCCTAAAATGTCACTTGATGCTTCACATCAGAAAATAAGAAGTCTATATAAAATATTTTTTTGCACATAATGAGTAATTTCCCTAAGGGGAACCTGTGACCTTAAGACCACATATGGCTTTCTAGGTCCTTAAGTGGGGCATTTTGACTAATCCATATTTTACAGAACAAGTCCTTTCATTTAAAAGGGGTGCAGCAAAGGAAGATGAAGCTTTTCTTGTCACGTTTTGTATTCAAAAAAGAATAGTCTTGAAATCAGAAGGCTGTAAGTTCCCTACCCCTGCCAGAGTCTTGTCTCTATGTGTTTCAGCCAGAGTATTGTAAAAGTTAGAAACATTATGTAAAAACTGCTATACCATTATGAGGGATTCTTTCTACTCTTGAGATTCATAATTCTATGATTTGTCATAGTCAGTGTCTATGATCAAGTCTTCCATCTCACAATTTGGTACTCCCAGGATTCTTTGGTTAAGAGTATGGGTTCAGATTCCAGCTCTGTCATCAGCTGTGGAGGCCTCGGTCAAGTTACTTGGTCAAGTCTCAGTTTACTCTTTCATAAAATAGGAAAATGATACCCACCTCATAAAGATTTCAGTATTAAATGAGATAATGTATATAAGATGTTTACTATGGTACCAATAAGTAGTAGCTATCAGTATTATCCTCTCTTTGAAAGTTTGCTTTTTAGGACATGATATTTTCACATGATGTATCCACATTAAAGGTGGATATTTAATTGAAAATGTATAAGAATTGGTAACTACACTTTAGATAATGTAAATACTAATACCATCTTGATGCATAAAGAAGTGGTTAAAGTATTTTTCATATTTTAATGATAATTGTTTTAATAGGACTAACAGCCTTTTTTTGTTCTGAGTTCACCAGTGGGGATAACTAAAGCCTTTTGGTGTCATTGTCAAAATAAATGCATGGAACATGGGAGTGGAGGGAAATAAGGGAGTCAAAGAGAAAAAGTGGAAGGAAACGGTGGCTGAGAGGAGGTACAGACTGTAGCATATACCTGTAGAAATTACTTAAAGTGTTTCTACTGGCCTAGATTGTCTTTCTGTGATAATAACATTTTATTAGAGTGTTGAAATAAATTTTTTGTGTATTTATAATATGTTTATTACCGCAAATGTTTTGTTTGCTAACCTAGTTTAGCACTAGTTTTTAGTGCTGTAATTTAAAGCCTATATTTGAAAATATTTAAGAATATTATGTATATCTTTAGCTTTTAATAAAAAACTAGGAAGTTTAAGTAATTCTCTACTTCTAAAATAGAATTTTTATTTTCTTGTATACGACACTCAGATAATTTAGGAGTTAAAACTGATGCATTGTCCATAAAAGAAATTACATTATAAAACTAGTTTATTCTGAGTAGAGAAATAAATTTTTAGAAAAGAAAAATCCAGAATTTCACTGGGAGATAGTTTTTTGTTCCAGAGTTTATTTTCAGTTAATTATATAGAGCCCATTCTGTAGACCAGTGCTATCCAGTAGGACTTCTTGTGACAGTGGAAATGTTCTATATCTGCACTGCCCTATATGATAGCCCACTAGTCACTTGTGGAATTGAGCACTTGAAATATGGATAGTGATGATGAACTGAATTTCAAATTTTATTTAATTTTATTAATTTACATTTAAGTAGCCACATGTGAATTGTGCAGTGGTTTTCAACTGGTGGTGATTTTTGTCCCCAGGGGACATTTAGCAATGTCTGGAGGCATATTTGGTTGTCAAAACTGGGGAGGAACTACTTGCATCGACTATATAGAAAGCAAGGACATTGCTGAACTTCCTACAGTACACAGGATAGCCCTCTCCACCTAAAACAAAGAATTATTTTGCCCAAAATATCAATAGTGCTGAAGTTTAGAAACTCTGAGCTGATAGGTATTGTATTGGCAGATATAGCACAGAATGTACAGATTTTATAATCATTTAATTTTAACTAATACTCCTGAAGAAATTAAAGGTCTAGTTAACAGCTTTTAGATTTGAAAGTTTGATAATAAGATTAGTGCAGTGAAGTTTTTGAGTCCTCTGTTGTCTTGTTTTGCCTGTGACTTAAGGCAAGAGCTTGCTCATGCTCCCTTTCTCCAACTGAAATACTTATCTCAAGTATTGTGTGAAATAGCAAAGCAGCATCTCTTCATGACTGTACAATGCTGGGGTTAAAACCAATTCAAAATGTTCTCAGATACATACTGAAGTATTTACAATTAAATGTTTTGGAGTTGATAATACAGGGTGTCCCCAAAGTCTCAATACAAAGAAAAATTCTGTTAAATTTTGTAATGAATATTATGTAAGTAAAGATACATTTAGCTACAATTTTCCATTTTCCCCATGTATGGCGACTTTTGGGATACCCTGTAGTTGAATCTGGGTGATGAATACATGAAGATTCCTTATACTGTACTCTCTACTTTTGTTTGAATTTTTGCTTCTTAAAAAGTAAAAAAACAAAACAGTAATACTTAGTCATAGGCGTAACTAATAATGATAGGCTATGGAATATGACCATTAAATTATTTTAACAAGGAAATGGTATTCATTTTGCATGCCTTTATTTACTCTCACAATTGCAAAGTTACATTAATATGTTCTGTTTGAAAAATAGTGTCACATTACTAAAGAAAAGTCACTGACATTCTTTCACTCTTACAGATTGTCCTGGGTCACATAATGCCAGCTGAGCGTAAAAAGCCAGCAAGTATGGAAGAAAAAGACTCTTTACTAAACAACAAGGAAAAAGACTGCGGTGAAAGGCGGCCAGTGAGCAGCAAGGAGAAGCCAAAAGACGATCTCAAACTCACTGCCAAGAAGGAGGTCAGCAAGGCCCCTGAAGACAAGAAGAAGAGACTGGACGAAGATAAGAGAAAAAAGGAAGAGAAGGAGCGCAAGAAAAAAGAAGAAGAAAAGGTGAAGGCAGAGGAAGAATCAAAGAAAAAAGAGGAAGAAGAAAAAAAGAAACATGAAGAGGAAGAGAGAAAGAAGCAAGAGGAGCAGGCGAAACGTCAGCAAGAAGAAGAAGCTGCTCAGATGAAGTAAGACAGTTTTATTGTAATTGTTGAAGAAATTGGAAGATTAGTATATTTTAGAAAAAATGGTTATTTGAAATACAACTTCCTGGGCGCAGCCTTTTGAGAGTTGGGAGTAACTTGTTCTGTTAGTTTTACTGACTGGGGTCATGCTTAAGGTGCATTAATTATTTAAATTAAATAATCTGATTTTTTTTTTGAGACAGAGTCTCTCTCTCTCTATTGCCCAGGCTGGGTGCAAATGTCAAGCAATCCTCCTGCCTCAGCCTCCTGAATATTTGGGGTTCCAAGTGTACACTACTGCACCATGCTTGTTTTTTTTTTTTTTTTGAGGCAGGCTCTTGGTTTGTTGCCTGGGCTGGAGTGCTGTGGTGCTGTCATAGCTCACTGCAACCTCATACTCCTGGGCTCAAACAATCCTTCTGGCTTAGCCGCCCAAGTTGCTAGTATTATGTGCGAGTGCCATCATCCCTGGCAGATATTTTTTATTTTTTGTAGAGACTGGTCTCCCTGTGTTTCTCAGGCTAGACTTGAACTCCTGGGCTCAAATGATCCTACCACCTGGACCTCCCAAAGTGCTGAGTGAGATTAGAGGTGTGAGTCACTGAGCCAGCTGTGTTTTTATTTTTTAAAAACTTTTTTTTTGATGAGACTGGCAGGAATTAAAAACTTTTTTTTCATGGTATGATAATACTCCATTTTTTTAAGTTGAAAATCATTCTTAGTGACTGCTATTTGTTGAGTTGTATTATGTATCAGGTACTATACATAGTATATTAGCATATATCCCTAAGACAGTACCGATGAAGTAAGTTTATGGTTCTCATCTTAAGAGATTAATAAATTAAAGCTTAAAACGGTTAAGGGCACAGTGAATAGTGGAGCTGTTGGTTTGACTTGAAACCTGTGTTCTTAAGCACAATTCCACAATGCCTCCTGTTCTAATCTTTATTTTATTTATTTATTTATTTTATTTTTTTTTGAGACAGAGTCTCGCTTTGTTGCCCAGGCTAGAGTGAGTGCCATGGCTGTCAGCCTAGCTCACAGCAACCTCAAACTCCTGGAACGCTCAAACTGTGGGCTCGGAGGATCCTTCTGCCTCAGCCTCGCGGTTAGCTGGACTACAGGGCATGCGCACATGCCGGTATTTTTATATTATATATCAGTTGGCCAATTAATTCTTTTCTATTTATAGTAAGACGGGGTCTCACCGTTGCCAGGTGGTTCGAACTCCTGACCTTGAGCAATCGCCCGCCTCGCCCCCAAGGAGCTAGATACGGTGGCCCAGCGCCTGCCTATCTTATTTTTTTTTTAACAATGCTATTGATGTGCTAGTTATCTATTATTTTTTAAATAAAATTTTTTTGGTGGGGCATTGGAGAAGTTTTCATTTAAGTATAATCACTTCTCAGATTAAACCATCATTGGTACGATATACCACTGTTCAAAACTAATTATCTTTTAATCTATTTTTAATTTTGTGGAATCTATGTTAAAGAATAACCGATAAGAAACAGGTAGTCTCATAGGAAGAACAACCAATGAGATCAGGCAAAATTACTGTTGAATAGCAATGAGTACTTCTTTCAAATATATAATTTTAAAAGTGTTTGCAACATGACTTTTAGTATCTCTGAACCATCCACCTTTTCCCCAGAGTTCTTCTTAGGACTCTAACTTTTACACAAGGGAACTGGGAGTGTAGGTCTGAAGTCAGTAGTAGGTGGGCAGTTTTGGAATCTTCAGAACGCCATGATTTTTGAGAGTTTCCTGATTTGTTTATTTGTACTTAAAAAAAATATAATCCAATTTCTCAGTCATTCTAGTTGGTAAAAAAGGTACTGGAAAGGCTGGCGCAGTGTAAATGATCTACACCTGACCTCACGCCTGTGAATCCTAGCACTCCGGAGGCCGAGGTGGGTGGATGCTCTTGGAGGTCCAGGAGTTCGGAAACAGGCCTGAGCAACAACGGACCCCATCTTGCTACTTAGAATAGAAAGAAATTAATTGGCAAACTATATATATGTAGAAAATTAGCCTGGCATGGTTGGCGCATGTCCTGTATACCAGCTACTCAGAGGTGGAGGCAGCAGATTGGCTTGAGCCAGGAGTTGGGATGCTGTTGAGCTAGGGACGCCACGGTACTCAGCCTGGGCAACAGAGTGACTTGTCTCCAAAAAAAATTAAAAAGCTTAAATTAAAAACAAAACAAAAGCCACACTTTCTATTGGGAAAATTTCAACATAATCAAAATAAATGGTATAATGAACGAGCCCTCCATCTACCAGGATCAGTAATTCCTACATTTTCTTTTCTTTCTTTTTTTTTTTTTTTTTTTTTGAGACAGAGTCTCGCTTTCTTCCTAGGCTAGAATGAGCTGCCGTGGTGTCAGCCTAGCTCACAGCAACCTCAAATCCTGGGCCATCCTCCTGCCTCAGCCTCCGAATAGCTGACTACAGGCACGAGACCATGCCCGCTGATTTTTATATTATATATATTAGTTGGCCATTAATTTCTTTTCTATTTTTATGGTAAAGACAGGTCTCTCAGCTGTTTTGAACTCCTGACCTTGACAATCCACCCACCTCGGCCTCCCAGAGTGCTAGGATTACAGGCGTGAGCCACCGCGCCCGCCCGGCATCCCTACATTTTTCACTTGGAGTATTTTTTTACTTTTTAAGAGAAAGAGTCTTGCTCTGTTGCCCAGGCTGGAAGTGCAGTACCTGACCATAGCTCACTGCACTTAAACTCCTGGCTCAAGTGATTCTCCTGCTTCAGCCTCTTGGGTGGCTAGGACTATAGGTGAATGCCACCTTAAAGTATCATAGTATTTTAACCATAAAGGCTTTGTTATATATCTTAAAGTGTTTTCACTACAGGTGAAAATTGAGTTATTTAACGCATATATAGGCCGGGCGCAATGGCTCACGCCTGTAATCCTAGCACTCTGGGAGGCCGAGGCAGGAGGATCCTTTGAGCTCAAGAATTCGAGACCAGCCTGAGCAAGAGTGAGACCCCCCCGTCTCTACTAAAAATAGAAAGAAATTAATTGGCCAACTAAAAATATATGAAAAAATTAGCCTGGGGCATGGTGGTTGCATGGCCTTAGTCCCAGGCTACTCAGCTTAGGCTGAGGCAGAACGGAGTTGCTTGAGCTAGGAGTTTAGGTTTGTGAGCTAGCTTGATGCCACGGCACTCTACGCCAGGCACAAGGAAGACTCTGTCTCGAAAGAAATAAATAATACGTAATGCGAATATATCTTCTTACAAATGTACTGTCACTCTATCCTTATTTTGTGTTGGTGGGAAACATACAAGAGATATTTAAATGTCCAAGTGCTGGAGACAACTTATACTTTAACATTTTTAGCTCTTTAGTGGAAACATAGGAATTATATATAACCAGTTGATGTTTTAGTACAAGATAAATCTACTTCTTTGAAGGATTTCATTATAAAGTGGACATGCTCAGAACCTCGAAGTGATTACATCGTTCTTGTCTATCCTCCCATCCTGCCAAGTTCAAAAAAACTTCAATTAAATTGTTCCTTCTTTTTAGTGGAAAAATAGGTATATCTATTTTAGCTATTTTTTAAAAGATAAATTGAGTTTATTAGAAGAACCCAAACCTAACAAGGTACTTTATTAAAGGTTTGGTTAAGGCTGAGTGTGGAAGGTTATCTAACAATTCAAAGCATTTCTAAGCATTCTTTTTTTTTTTTTGGAGGAAGAGTCTACTTTGTTCTTTTCCCAGGGAGAGTGAGTCCATGGTGTCAGCTCGCTCACAGCAACCTCAAATCCTGGGCTCAAGCGATCCTCCTGCCTCAGCCCCGAGTTAGCGGGACTACAGGGCATGCCACCACCTATCCGCTAATTTTTCCTATATATATTAGTTTGGCCAATTGTTCCTTTTATTTATAGTAGAGATGGCAGGTCTCGCTCCTGCTTCAAGATATGGTTTCAAACTCCCGACCTCCGACACCGCCCGCTCGGCCCGAGAGCGGATTACAGCGTGAGCCTGCCACCAGGCCATGTATATTATTTTTGTTGTAATTATTTCTTCTATTTTGGGTAGAACTTGGTCTCGCTCAGGACTGTTTCGACTCCTGAACACTTTGAGGCAATCCGCCCTCCTTGACTCCCAATAGTGCAAGGAATACAGAGCGTGAGCCACCGCGCCGGCCTAATGCATTCTTTGATAATGCGTTATTCTTAAAGTATTCTTTGTGGACAATATTTTCCAATTTGTTATGCTTTTTTTGTTACATTTCTCAACATTATATTTACATTTTTTAATTAGCATCATGTTTTATTGTTTAGCTTGCCAGCAGGTCTGAATGAGTTTGTAATTTGTAAGATAGTTTGTCAAATCCTCTGTTCTACACACTTGGTTTATCAGTATACACTACTGGCTCTCATTATCTTAAGTCATTTAATAAAATGTCTTTTCCTGGCTGGTGTGGTGGTCACGCTGTAATCCTACTTTGTGGAGGGCTGAGACGGGTGGACGTTTATTTGAGAGTCGAAACCAACCTGAGCATAAGCGAGACCCTGTCTCTACATATAAATAGAAATAAATTAATTGGATAATATACATGAGAAAAATTAGCCAGGGCATGTGGGACATGCCTGTAGTCCCAGCTACTCGGGGGCTGAGCAGAGGATCGCGTGAGCCAGGAAAGTTTGAGGTTGGTGAAGCATGGCTAGATGCACCATTACAGTAGCCTGGGTACAAGTGAGATATCTGTCTCAAAAAAATAAAAAGACCAGCTAAGCAAAAGGAGTACCTCCTCTCTACTAAAAATAGAGAAAACATTAGCCGGACTTGGTAGCATGTGCTGTAGTCCAGCCTATAGTCCGCACTCCAGGGCTGAGGCAGGAGGATGCTTGACGCCAAGAGTTTAAAGTTGCTATGAGCATGTTGCCGCCATTGCACTCTAGCCCTGGCATAGAGGGAGCGAGACTCTGCTCAAAAAAAAACGCTCTTGTCTTGTTTGTCTTTCGGA